AGTCCTAGTTGGCCAACTAATCATTGTATTCAAATGCCTCTGAGATATTTTCCTAATCAGAATTATATGAAATGTAGTGTAATAACTTTAATCTTAAAATAACTAGGTCGTGCATAAGCCTTGGGATAATTTAGGATCATTTCAAAGCCAGTTCACTTGCTTCATAATAAACAATTTAATTTCTTCAAGATTTTAAGGAAATGAAGGAAAGGCTATGTGTCCTGGATCATGCTTGCTCTTGCCTTCTTGGGTCAAAGTCCTGGCCAAATATTCAGCTTGGACAGTAATAAATAGTAATATTTTCCTGTTTATGTAATTTATTTTGATCTTCAATGTGTTTTTTTTTTCTTTCCTCGGTTTTATTGCAAACCTTCCCCCTCTGGGACAGCTACTATTTTTTCTCTTCTTTAGAAGCTGAAATTTATGGTGTAACCCTATCTTGACCTCACTTTCTCTTTTTTGTTTCCTTAGTGAGAGGCCTTCAGGAGAGTTGGCATCACTGTTTTGTCTCACTCAAAAAATTAATATTCAGTTTCTTGAAATCAAGAGGGAATGTCTCAAGTTAACCAAGTTAATTGTTAAACAACGTACAAAGGGATGGGATGTCCTTCCATTCATCTGCACTTGTTCATCTAACAAATTACCAAAAGTGTTTAAGGAAAACTGCATTGAAAGAAGTTTAACTTAAAATGAATCAAAAGGATAAAATATGTTTGATAGACATATATACAGTGGTGGGTTCCTACCGGTTCAGACCGGTTCATCCAAAATAGTAATAACTTGGCGGCCTGGGTCGCTGGAANTAATGCCGGCTGAAAAAAATACTAAAGTTAGATGGGCTCAGGGAAGATTTTAATTACGACAGCTCTATAAGCATGCTAATGGATGAAAAATATTCTCATCCACTTAATGAAAGACAATAGAAGAAAGCATATTCTAATGTATCAGAGGAACAACAAACATGGAAAAACCTCATTTATTAAATCCAGCCCATTGTGACCTTTCTATGGCATGCTATTGACAATTCTATTCACATTTTTAAAAAATGTAATTCACTTGCCCAAGATATGACAGAAGGGATGATGCGTTCATCTCAATTGTAAAATTTTTCACTTTAATGCCCCTTGGAATTAATTGAGCACACAGGCTTCACATCAAGTATAATAAACAGGTTAGTAATTGATTAGAGCCTCAGGGGAACAATGGGATGAGGCTGGCTAGTAAAAAAGAAAGCAACCTATAAAAATGTTAGGAATTTAAAATTTGATGGGGTGCCTTGCACTAGCTCCTTCAAAAGGCACGCTAATAAAGAAATGATCTCCGGGGCTTAAATTAAATATTCAGATTTTATAAGCAATGTCAGTCAGTAGAAGTGTGCCACATTAACTCAAAATCTTGGGCTAGTTTGCACACAAAGAGATACAGCAGTCCGTAAACTCCTGTTGTGCGAGGTGGTGAGAATGCATTATAGCTCAGCGTGGGATCCCTTGTCTTCTTCTCCTTCTTTCAGCACAGTTGGGAGCTGTGAAGTTGGAAAGACAGGCTCAAGCAGCGAGGGGAAGCAATTCTAAATCTTGTGCTTGTTGAGAGTATGGAGCACCAAAGCCAAGTATTACTTTGCACCAGTGGTGGGATTCAAATAATTTAACAACCGGTTCTCTGCCCTAATGACCAACAGGGTAGGTGGGGCTCGGTAGTCATGTGATTGGGTGGGTGTGGCCAACTCAACATCACTCATGTTGATGGGCGCTTCGCCTTATGTGTTAAAATGTAATAAGGGTTAACCAGAGAGGCAGTTTCTATAAGCAGGGCAATAAAGATGAGGCTAGAAACAACACCAGAATGTTTCCCGCCTGCCTTCCTTACAGGATTAGCCCTGTAAAGTAGAAAAAACAAAATGATATTTCTTCCAACAACCGGTTCGCCGAACTGCTTAGAAAGTTATCAACCGGTTCTCCCGAATAGGTGCAAACTGGCTGAATACCAGGGGCGTGNAAGATGGTCCCTATTTTTCTACTTGCATTTTTTATATGCTTTTGAACTGCTAGATTGGCAGAAGCTGGGACAAGTAATGGGAGCTCACTCCGTTATGCGACAGTAGGGATTTGAACCGCCAAACTGCCAACCTTTCTAATTGATAAGGTCAGTGTCTTAGCCACTGAGCCACTGGTCAATAAATAATGGACCGAAAGAATAATTTGAGGGAGGTGGGGGGAGATAAAGAAAGGGAAATTATCTCGAGAAAACTTCAGCTCTTGGTGGAAATTTTTTTTCCAGAGTCTTTGTATCGATTTATTCCTAGGTGCTGAAGGTGTGTGGCGTTCAGATTTTGTCCTCATAAGGCAGTGGTGTCAAACTTGATTTCATTGAGGCCCGCATCAGAGTTGTGCTTGATCTCAGGGGGTGGGCGGGCATGGCCAGGGTGGGCATGGCCAGCATGATGCCGTGTTCGGGGGCGCCTGTGGTGGCCTGAATGCACTGCCAATGAAAACGGGCTCCCGAGCACAGTTTCCGGCTGCGATGGCCTCCTGTAACCCTCTGCCAGTGAAAATGGCTCTCTCGAGGGCCACATCCTAAGCTCCATTTTTTGCTGCCAGAGGTGCCCCAAGCTGGACCTTTGCTGTTTCCAGGAGAGCCCCGTGGACTAGATCTAAGCACCCCATGGGCCAAATCCGGCCCCCGGGCCTTGAGTCTGACACCCCTGTCTGTCAGGGTTCCAAGTAACACCCCCAACGAAAGAAAACTCCGAGGCTTGAGTTTCCTCAAAATTCCATTTTATTAAAGAGGTCCTATTGACACATCTGGGAAAACCTGAATCTGAAAGCTTCCGGGTTTTCCCCACCCAAAAGAAAGTCCAAGTCTCTGCCCAGCACCCGCATGTGTCCATCCCATGGCCCAATCAGGCACCGTCCCAACTGGAGATGCCTCCCAGTCACACCACTCCAGATGCAGGGAAAGATGTCCTTGACTCTCTGAGAAAGGAATGTTATTTTGACTATATCTCTCCCATACTCCATACAATCCCCCCTCCCATTTCCCCACAGCATTAAACATGGCAGGCCGGAAGGCCCAATGCAGAGGATGGCTTCCAGGCCTGACACTATCATAAGGCCTTCTTAGAGAGTTTAAGAAGTCCAATGAAGGGGGTTACTTCTTTTAATAAGAGAAAGGGGGGGGGAACTTCTGTGCCTTTCTCCAGGTTCCATATAGGAAGGCAAGAAATACAGTTGAACCAACTAAGGTTGTAAAAGCAGCTCAGATGCCTCCATCCGTGTCTGTAGGTAAAACGTTGCTCCAGATCCAATTGGAAGATCAAAGCAACCTGTTTTCAGGATCTGTAAAATGGTTCAAAGCAAGCAAAACTCTCTCGGAGGTCCTGTAGAAGTCAATCAATCAACCAGAATACAGCTGGAAGGCACCTTAGAGGTCCTCTAGTCCAATCCCCTGATCAAGCAGGAGACCCTATACCAGGGGTCTGCAACCTTAAACACTCAAAGAACCATTTGGACCCATTTCCCACAGAAAAGAAAACCTGAGTGGGTGTGGCCAATGACATCACTCCTTCCCATCCAGTCACATGACTACTCTAGCCATGCCTACCCAGCAGGTCATTAGGGCAGAGCACCAGTTGTTAAAAAACACCTGGAACCACAAAAGTCTTAACATAACTCTGTATCTCTACCTCCCTCCATCTCTCTTTCTCTCACACACATATACCTCTCCATCCCCCACCATTGCCCTTACCTTCTCAGGCCAGGCAAGGAGTCACTGGGGGGGGGGGGGCGAGGCCAGCCAGTGGTGGGATCACCCAACAGGGAGCCGCACCACCGGGCCCAATGAGCCGTATGCGATTCCGGAGCCGCAGGTTGCAGACACCTGCACTATACCATTTCAGACAAGTGGCTGTCCAGTGGCTCTTCTTAAAACCCTCCCGTGATGGAGTATCCATAAATCAAAGTATCCAAATTTCTGAGAATGGTCAGCACATTCATAAGCAGAGTATCCCAAATATTCTTCTGGGATTTGAGTAGAACTGAAGAAAGTCTTCTAAACTGGAAGTTCTTGGACTTCACTCAAGGACAACTGATGCTACTCAAAGGGAACTGCCTTGTTGGTCTTCTTGAGAGCAATAGTTGGGCTAATCTGAGTGAGCGTGACATTTTCTTTCCACGGGGGATGAATTTTGTGTTCTGCTACCTTACCTCTGCCTCTTGGTTGTTATGGACATTCATAAAGCACTGAAAGAGTGGGTTGGTGGTGCCTGAATCTTCCATCACTCTGTCTCTCTAAGCGGCTGGGATTTTACACTTTAGAAATAAATATAGATTTGGGCTGCATAATTCTCATTGTGATCACAAAGATTGGTGTCTTTAATATTATTTGCATGTGCTGTCATACCTACACGTTTTGGAGATGTTCCCTTCTCTTCCCTTCCCTGCCTTGCCCTGCCCCTACATCCCTTCCTCCTCCCTTTCTTGTTTTCTTCCTCCCTCCCTCCCATTCTCACCTTCCTTCCTTCCTTCCTTCCTTCCTTCCTTCCTTCCTTCCTTCCTTCCTCCCTTCCTTCCTTCCTTCCTTCCTTCCTATTGTTCTTCCTTCCTCCCTTCCTCTGATTCTCATTTTTTCNATATTGTTATGTATGTTTTGTCTTTTCTTATGTTGTTGTATTTTTCTTTCTGTTTTTAAAGGTAATAATGTTTAATAAAAACTATTTTAAAAAAATTGTTTATGGACTAGGCTATATTTTTTACCACTTTGTTCTTTCAATTTATATGGCAATTATCAATTAAGATCAGAAAAATGAAGAGTCTTCTCACAATATAATATTATGTTCTTTTTCTTGACCCAATGCAGCTTTTCCACTTCTAAAATATTTTAGAAAATATTTATTGTTAGTAACAATTATGTGATAATTATCTACCTTTCTCAGATATCATAATAAAAAGTGCAGGTTGTTAAACTCAGTTTACTTTTATCTGCAAGCATTCTTAAAGAGAAAAAAGTGTTAACATACAACTTGAAATCCATCATACCTCTGAATCAAACTCCATTAGTAGAACAATTTTGTCCCTGATGGAACTGAAAAGATTGTGTTTGTGGATCAGCTGGAAAACATCTTTATGTCTCAGTGTGAGGTAAATTTCAAGAGCCTTTCTGTAGCGCTGGTCGTAGGTGTACCTAATAAGAAAGATCATGTGTTATAAATAGACCCAGATGTGGGCCTTTTGAGAAAGCAATCCAAATAGCACAGAAATCATTTGGCTAAAACATCCTATAGTTATTTGGAATAATAGAAAACATTTTCTGTCTACATGTGTTAGAAAAATAATTGGATATCACTTTTTCCTTCAATTTTCTTCAGACCCTCAATGGCCTTTAGCCTTTCTGATTAAGATATGCTTCAAGGATAGTGAAAAACCTTAAATAGTGCAGGCTAACTTAGGATGTTAAGGATGTATTCTGGCATTCCTGAGAATAAAACAAAATAGAAGGACATATTTATGTGTGAACATTGCTATGTAAGACTTAAGAAAATGAAACACATTTGAAAAGCAGCTTGTTTCAAGCCTCCAATAACTTGAATATGGATATATAAATGAAAGAAAAACTGTAATCTAGAATATTTGGTTTTTTTTGTACCATTTCTGCGCTGTGATTTTAATGATATTTTCAACAGTAATCTCTCTCTCTGAATCCCTTTAATTCTTTATTAAAACTTCATTGACAGCATTTTCCCCATTAATATTTTTAATTTTAATATTTAAAATAATTAAAACAGAAGAGTTAAATATCTATCTATCTATCTATTCATCCATCCATCCATCCATCATCTACCTACCTATAATCTATCTACCATGTTTCCCCGAAAATAAGCCCTCCCCAAAAATATTGTAACACAGCAGCACCATGAGATGACCACGTTCGCTGCCTCCTGCACCTCAAAAATAATAAGAGCTCCCTGAAAATAAGCACAAGTGCTTATTTTTGGGTGGAGGGTGTCAAAAAAAATAAGACTTATTTTCAGGAAAGCACGGTATCTATCTATCATGTATCATCTCTGTCTGTCTATTATAAAATACAGATGGGGACAGTTTTGTCTGTATCAAGAATTTTACCGAATGTTTTCAAAACAGCTTGTATTTCAAAATTCAATTATTACAGATATAGTGCAATATATACAGATATAGTTCTCCATCTCAGTTTTCCTGAAGCTGAATCTACATATTTCTCGCTGAGCCTTAAAAATACCCATCAGAGTCAATCCCATAGCTGAGCACCTGAGCACAAATAATCAACTAAGAGCTAATGACCAAAGCAGTCTAAAAGTCAAGCTGAAAAATACAAAGCTAATATACAAAGATGTTTGGATAAAACAACAACATTGGGAGATTCTGCTCAACATAATCTCTCAATACTCCAAAAAGGTACTAAAGTCAGGTATTAAGGCTGATACAGCATGAACAATAGCATTCATGAACGTGGATTTCATGAAAAAAGAAGCAAGATACCACATTCTTATATTTGAGAGCATCTGAATAATATTTCTCTTCCCTGACTTATAAATTTTAGACATGAAAAACTAAAATACAATAATACTATCTCTGAAACAATCTTGCTGTTGATGTAAATCTTTTCAAATGAAAGTTTTAATAAATATTTGAACTTCATCCCTCACCCACAAAAGTAGAGATAGGAAGAAGTCAAATTACTTTTATGTGGAAAAACATACTTAAAATTCTGATTATTCAAGGAAAGAACCACAATGGGTTATTTAGATGTTGGTCAATTGTGGGTATCATTTGAATTCCTGAGCCAACAGACTTACAATTCTGCTAGAGTTTTCAGCAATGTCCTGTTCTGTGGATCTTTCTTCAGATGGTCCAATACAGCATGGACAATGACTGGATTGTTGTACAGGTTCCCAGGCCATTCTTTAATTAATGTTGCAAAACCCTTAAAATAATTGAAAGTGGATATGAGATTGGAAGCAAATAACTTTTTTAAATAAAAGAAATAAAATTAAAAGGCTTTGCACTTTAGTCAAAGGTATTAAGAGAATAACAAAAATTGTCATTGTCATCTGGGCAAAATGAATTGGACAAATTCAGCCAAATAACCCCCTCTTTTTTAATACTAATGTAATTAGGAACTACAATAGGAACTACAATTAGGCCTCCATAATTTCAAGTGGGAAGGACAATTCCAATTCCAAGTGGGAAGGACACAAGTATAAGGACTTCTGTTTGATCCAGAATATATATGCTTCCTTCATATTTCCTGGAGAATCTTAGCAATAGCAATAGCAGTTAGACTTATATACCGCTTCATAGGGCTTTCAGCCCTCTCTAAGCGGTTTACAGAGTCAGCATATTGCCCCCAACAATCCGGGTCCTCATTTTACCCACCTCGGAAGGATAGAAGGCTGAGTCAACCTTGAGCCGGTGAGATTTGAACAGCCGAACTGCAGAACTGCAGTCAGCTGAAGTAGCCTGCAGTGCTGCATTTAACCACTTCGCCACCTCAGCTCTAACCTTCTTTATGGAGAGCTCTTTCATTTTCTTGGGGCCAACCTACAGAGGGTTATAAGTAGTAACTTGGCTGCCTGGGTCATTGGAACCGGTAGTGATCCAGGCCTGCCACACCCCTGAACCAGTTCTCCCATAGGCAGAGCCATTTTGCTTCTGCCCATGTGCAGCAATTTTTATTGCACTAGTTGGTCATGCCCACTCCGACACTCACCTTGCCTCACTTTCACCATGTGGATCCGCAGAACTGCCTCCTTCTACCTACACACAGGTAAGCAGCATTCATGCTAGCCTAGCCCTCCCCTCCCCACTGGCTTTAACCCAGACCCTACCTCGTCAACTGATGGGGAAAGCGGTGAGCGAGCAGATGGAACCAGCCTGGCCTCCAATACTCCATCTCGCAGAGATGGTGGCAGTGAGCCGTAAGGAAGTGACCCCCGTGATGTGCGATGGACAGCCTCCCACGCCGCTACACCCTTGCCTTCCATGCAGAGCCTCTGTCGGTGGGGCACCTCCCATTTCGTCCATGTGCCATCCCCCCACTGCTTCTACATCCCCGAATGGTCCAACGCCAACGTAGATGTTCCTTTGGGCAAGCTATTGAAGCTTGGCTATTTCATTCCACCTCTCCTTCTGACTTTTCTCATCCAGCCCCTCCTACACGCACACACACACACCCCATACTTGTCATGGTGCAAGGTGAGTGTGGTTGGGGAGAAATCAGGGTGAGGGGGAGGAGAAGGCTGAAATTCTGCTAGGGGGCAAGGGAAAGCAAGCCAGGTCTCCTCAGCGAGTGCCACTCTTTCTCTCAGCTGCCTCTCGAGGTTGGCTGATTGGACCCGTGCCTGCTCTTGCCCACCCCACTTCTCCTCCTCATGGCTGATCCCATGTTTTGTGGGAATAAAAGCAGTCATACAGAGAGAACTGGGAGTGGAAGAAGCAGGTCCCAAGCAGGCCAGCGGACGCCCTACATACCTGCATTTTCCCCTCCTTCCCTCAAAGCAGCTATGCCTTCCGCTTGCCCATTAGTGACTGCCCGTGCTCCCCCCTATTGCTCCCCCTGCAGGAGCTAGAAAGTGTGGGGGGTTTGGCTTGATGGCCCATTTTGTTTCAGAAGGGAGAGAAAGGATACCTCCTTTCTGCGAGGGAAGACATCTTCCTTGGCTGCCTTCAGCTGCCTCTCCCCTTTAGGCTCACTGAGTCTAGGTGCTCGCTTTTCCTCTGGAGAAATCCAGAACCCCAGGAAGGGTAATCCTTATGTATTTTATTGGTAGATAGCATGTCTCATCCTAATCTGTTTTACCACTATAGTGACAAATTTAAAATTAAGCTGCTGTTCTGTTTCAGTGGTATTACAACAAATAATATTTTACCTGATAATCGCTCTCTAGAAATTCATGCAGAACCATTTCATAAATAAAAGGCTTCAGGATCGAATCTTGTCTTGGCAAATAGTGACTAATTGCCTAAGGAAATAAACAATTAAAATATGTTGAAGCTTTCCAAAAGTTTTAGGAAACATTACTAAAAACAAAGCCAGAAGTGGTGGCAGTATTCCAGCTGAGCTATTTAAAATCCTAAAGGATGATGCTATTAAAGGGCTACATTCAATATGCCAGAAAACTTTGAAAACTCAACAATGAACACAGGATTGAAAAGGTCATTTTAGGTTCCAATTCCAAAGAAGGCCAATGCCAAAGAATGTTCAAATTACTGTATAACTGCACTCATTTCACATACTAGCAAGGTCATGCTCAAAATTCTACAAGCTAGACTTCAGCAATATGTGAACCAAGAACTACCAGAGGAGGCAGAGGAAATAGAAATCAAATTTCCAACATTTGCTGGATCTTGGAGAAAGAAGGGAGTTCCCAAAAAACCAAATCTAGTTCTGTGTCATTGACTACTTTAAAATCTTTGATTGGATAGATCATAATAAAGTGTGTCAAGTTCTTAAAGAGATGGTAGTACGAGATCACCATACCTGTCTCCTGAAAAACATGAGGGTTAAGTAGCAACACTGAACAAACGTGGAAAACCAGATTGGTTCAAAATAGGGGAAGAAGTATAAGAGGGTTGTATATTGACATCCTGCTTATTTAATATATGCAGACTAATGTGAAATGCTGGGCTGGATAAATCACAAGCCAGAATTAAGATTTTCATGAGAAATATAAACAATCTTAAATATGTAGATGATACCTCGCTAACGGCACAAAGTGAAGAGGAAATAAAGAGCCTCTTGATGAGGAGAGGAGACTGTAAAAGTTGGCTTGAAACTCAACATTAAAAAAAAACTAATATCATGTAATCTGATCCCATCACTTCCTGGCAAATAGAAAGGGAAGAAATGAAAGCAGATTTTATTTTCTTAAGCTCCTGGAGCACTGCAGGTAGCAACTGCAGCCCTGAAATTAAAAGATCCCTGCTCTTTGGGAGGAAAGTTATGACAATCAGAATATTAATACAGCCTTTATTGTCATTGTACAAAATAAATGCAAAAATTTGGTAATGGTTTTTCCAATAGTTTTCTATGGCTGAAAGTTTGGACCAAAAGGTGAGTGCCAAAGAATTATGCTCTCTAGTTGTGGTGTTGGAGAAGACTTTTTAAAGTCCCTTGGACTTCAAGGAGGTCACACCAGTCAATCCTAAAGGAAGTCAATCCTGAACGTTCTTTGGAAGAACGTTCTTCCAATTATTGAAGCTGAAGCCAAATGCTTTGGCCACCAACTGAGAAGAGATGACTCACTAGAAACATCCTCCCCACTCCACTGATATTGGGAAAGATTGAAGGAGAAGGGACAGTGTTATTGATGCAATGAATATCAATTTTGGCATTCTTTGGGAGACAGTGGAGGGCAGGGGCCTGGTGGGCTATATAGTCCATGGGGTCACTAAGAGTTGGATATGACTTAGCAATTGAACAACAAAAACAAAAACAATCGCCAGTTTGGAAAGGCAGTAATTTTATTGACAGGCTTTTTGGACAAGATTTTCTATATTTAAAAGTCTTCTGGATAGCATAAGGCATTGTTGTAAGATATTTATACTCAAGTTAAAAATAAATCTAGAAGGGAGTGGTGATGGCAAAAATAGTACATCACCCATTTATCCATACATCTTTTAGGGTGAAGTGAAATAGAGGAAGGTAAGCAAGAGGCTTTCTTCTAATCTGGCAAAATATCTGGCTACTAACCTGCTCTTTCTCCATAAATAGTGCTGTTGTCTTGCCATCCATCTTTAATTTTGTATGAAAGCAACTGCTATGAGAAAAACTACCGTTTTGCAATACTTTCACACTCTTGAATAGAATTTAACATCTCAAAAGGACTACCTACTGTGAGATCTTAATAATATGTTCCTTTTGGTTCATTGAGTTTGAATAGGAAGACATAACATTCGTAGTGAGAATATGGATATGCAATCAATACTCATGTTCATAAATGCTTTCTACTATCGGAAAAATAACAGCCTTTTAACAATATGCCATGGTCAAACTATTAATTTTGATGCTTGCTAACTAATATGTCCCTTAAAAGTTCCTGCTCTGCTCTGCTATTAGTCGAATTATATGAGTTCTTTCTAATCTTGCAGTACACAACAGGCCCAAAATCTGTCACATTGAAACACAATTAATTCCTGAAAATATTATTAATGAATCGGTCTACAAACTCTTGAATCATGAGACCATGTATCTACTATGCTTTTAAAGACTTCTAAAAAGTAGATTCTTGAAAAGTTACAACTCTCTGACAAACTTAGATGGACATAATTCAACTTGTATTGTATAATTTTTCATATAACAGACATGGAAGCCAAATATAATAAAATTGTATAATGTCTTGTTTAAGGTCTGGGAAAAAATCAAGAAGAAGCATTATATGAAAATCACAATCTGGTTATCAACGATGGAGCCAATGACATACCCAAATACCATAGATCTCAGTAAAATGATAAGCTATGCAGAACTTTTAGATGAAAAAGGAGAACTAAAATCAGTAAAAGATCTGAAAACACAAGGAATAAATATGGAATGCTGGCCTTATTTACAAATTAAAACAAGATTTAAAAAAGATCGGGAACAATATGAAATACATGAGAAACAAGTGGAAATAGATAAAATATTATTAGGAATGGGAGGAAAAATGATTAGCAAATTATATAATTTTCTTTTTAAGATATAAAATGGTGGAAGAGATAGTAAAGGAGACAATGATTAGCTAGGCAAGAAACTTTGGCCATAACATAGAGTTAGAAAAATGGGACAAACTATGGGAAAGAAATTATAAATTTACAATAGCAGTAGCTTACAAAGAAAACCTCTATAAAATGTTTTATAGATGGCATTTGCCCTCAGCGAGATTGGCCAAAATGTATCCAAATTTATCTCCCAAATGTTGGAGATGTAGTCACACGTTTGGAACATTCTACCATATGTAGTGGATGGGCCCCATTACAAGGAAATATTGGTGTAAAAATCAGAAATGGCTGGAAGAAATTACGGAGCAAAAGATAGAATTGAAACTGGAATCATTATTAGGAATACAGACAAAACAGACAAAAAATTTCAATACATAATACTATACATACTCACTGCAGCTAGGATCACTTTTGCACAAAACTGGAAACAAATTAATACACCCGCAGACAAAACAATAATTAGAAAGGTACTCAAATATACAGAGATGGAAAAAATGACCATGGAATTAAAAGAAAGAGAAGAATCGGATTTCTAGAAAATATGGAATAGAATTTATAATTGGCTAGAAAACAGAAGCCAAAACAAAAAAAGGACGTCTTTGTTTCCCCCCCCCCCCAAACTAGTATTGAATAAAAATTAACCAAAGTTACTAATTACTATCAAACTTAAAATATTGACCACAATGTAAATAAAATGGTGATATGAACAATTAATATTATTAAAAGTGTTAGTACAACTGTTATTACACTATTACAGAAGATACAATCGATAGGAAAGCAATGTAGAATGGAGAATTACAAAAGCTAAACATAAATGCCGATACAGAAGGCTGTATAACTATTTTATATTGTTACGTTTGTCTTGTTTTTTCTTTTTGTGTGTGTCTTCTTTTCTGTTTTTTAAAGATAAAAATGTTCAATAAAAACTATTTTTTTTAAAAATTGTACAAGGAACCAAAATACTATATTTTGTTAAGTTTCATGTTTCAAAAATTATTAATAGCACGTTTTAACTTTTTATTAGGCCATGAATATCAACTTATTTCAGTTTTAGATTCTAGGATATGTAATGCTATTTCTTGAAATTCAATTAATACTTACCCTATTGTGGGACAGACCCAACTCACATATAGAAAATAACAAATGAAACAAACAGATAAAGACAGACCTAAATACAATAGAGCAATTTTGAATATGCCTACTTTTGGGGAAAGTAATAAAGACATGACTATATGATTTATTAACTTTTACATGTGACAAACAAGTGGTATTCAGTCATACAAACCTTAAGTTGTCCAATTTCTTTAAATCTATATACTTCACATTCCCATAAATTTGTGTTTTTGCCAAGTATCTTCTGACATTTTCTGAGAAAATATATAATAAGCGAAGTGTCCATAAATCATATTTTCAATGCTATTTTTTCCTTGCATACTTCATTATTTGTGAAGTAACAGAGTATTAATTTGAAATGAATTATGAATTACTTTTTAATCTGACTAAGGACACTCAAAAAACATAAAATTCAGCATCTACAATCAAATATTGTATTTTTTGGAGTATAAGATGCACTTTTTGCCCCCCTAAGAGAGGGTGAAAATTTGGGTGCGCCTTATACACTGAATGTAGACCTGTCCACCTGCCATCCCCCAGCAATTTGCCTCCTCGCAGCAAACAATGAACAGCCTGTTTCAGTTTCAGCACAGCCTGATTAGCACTGGCAGCTGATGGGCCTCCGACTATCAGCGGTATCAGGCTGCAGACAGGCAGCAATAGGCTATGGCAATCCCTGCAGCCCCAAACAGCTGATTGTTGGGAGGCCTGACTATCAGCTGCTTGTGCTAATCAGGCTGTGCTAAAACTGCTGTTTGATGAAAGGCGGCAAATTGCTGGGAGGCAGAGGCAGATTTTTATTTTCTTGTGCAAATCAGATTGAAACTGAAACTGGCTGTTTGCTGTAAGGAGGCAAGTCAATAACTTTAAATGTCTATAGAATGTTCAAATTATTATACTTATTTTTTAAAGATTGCTTTATTATTGTTCTAGACAACTTAACAAAATGAAGAAGCTTATTAAAATAAATCCTTGATCTGAAGAGGCCCAGTGCTATTGTATCATCTTTTAAATAGCAGAGAATAACGTATACTTCCAGAAAGTCACATCAATTTTAACAGTATCTGTACAAGTATGGAGGTGATGGGGGTGCGCGTGCATGAGGGTGGGGTTTAGCCTAAATACCAAAGAAGTATAAAAGGTGGTGGGGAGCATCGGATGTCAGCTCTGACAATAGCCCGGGAAGAGTGGCCCTCTTCTTATGCCAGATGTCAAATCACATGGATTGTTATGGCCATATGTACACGTTGCAGTGGGACATGGTAATGGCTGTGATGGTGGTGATGGATGGAGAGGTTGCCACCTGGGTGGCTGATTTATATGGGGATCATGCTATGGAACTCGGGGACATTGGTCTGTTCCTGGAGACACTGCAGGAAAGGTTTAAAGATGCCACCAGGATTCAGCAGTGGAAGCGGAGTTTCTGGCTGTAAGACGAGGGAGGCCAGTAGCCGAATACATCGGAGAGTTCTGGGGTCTGGCCGGCAAAGTGAGGGGGTGGCCAGAGAGGTTGGTGGTGCACCACTTCAAGGCCGGTCTTGACCTAACACTATGTCAGGCCTGCATCTACAGAAGGTTGCCACATAGACTGACTGCATGGTTCCAGGCCGCCATGGAATTAGCTATAAATTTCCACGAGGATAGGCCAGGAAGGGAGTGGGGCACACAAGAACAAAGACCGCAAACACGTCCTATCAGCTTTGCCCCGATAACCCTGCAATCCACAGCAATCTCCAAGGTGAAACCATCTCCAATGGAAGCTGGATAGAGAACACCCGTCCAGACACCCATAATATGTTTTCATTGAGAAAGGCTGGGGCACAGAGCGGCAGTGTGTCCTGAAACCAGCCCTACAGTATCTGTGAGCACACCAAACACAAAAAGGAGAAGTCACGTGGGGTGAGTCAACCAATTCCTACACCCATTGGCTCCAGCCCATCAGGTGATACGCTCAACACCAGTGGAAGTGATGGGGAGGAGGATTCCGACCCAATGATAAATAAGCCAATCAAACCTTTTGTGATACCGGTAGTGGTGGAAACAGCCAGGCGATGACAGTGTACAGCCCTGATTGATTCAGGGTGCACTTATTGCTTAATGAATGCCACAATCGCTGATAGCTTGGGTGGATAGGCCTCAGGAAGCTGGCTAGGCCGATCTGTTTTGAACAGATGGACGGCTTGTTATTGGGGGGCTAACCAGCCACACATGTAACTAATCAGGTGGTATTGCAGATAGGGCCCCATCAGAAGGACCTGTGTTTTGTAGTGGTTCCGAAAATCATGGAAGTAATTGTTCTAGGCCTGGCGTGGTTGGATAAGTGGGGCCCCACAATATGGTGCGGTGGTGGTAGTAGGCATCTCAGAATAGGGCTCGGCCCTGAACGCCCTCCTCAAGAGGAGCAAACCATGGCCCAGGGGATGGTGGGATTGCAAACTGCAGTGCCATCGATAGATACAGCTGGGACTGAGCGATTCCCTTGGGTATATGCAGACTTAAAGGATGTATGCATCAAACGAGAATGTGATACTTTGCCCCCTCACTGCCCAACGGGTTGTGCAGTGGAATTACTCCCTGGAGCTAAACTGCCAAAGGCCCAAATGTATTCTATGATCCTGCAAGAGCTAGCAGAAATGAGGGCATACATAGAGAAGAACTTGAAAAGAGGTTTATTCAACAGCTAGATCAAGGGTAGCTGCACCCGTTCTTTTCTGGGAGAAAAAGGATGGCGGCTTATGCCTCTGTATTGATTTCCAGGGGATTAATGCCGTCTGTGTGGAACATCTACCCTCTCCCTTTAATGAAAGATATGCTGGTCAGATTAGCAGAGGAATGCATATTCACGAAATTAGATCTCAGAGAGGCGTATTATAGGGTACATATTCAGGCTGGTGATAAATGGAAGACAGCCTTCATTGTCCTCTAGGCCGGTACCAGTTCCTTTGGACTGCAAGGAGCCCCGGCAGTGTTCATGCAGCTAATTAACAAGGTGCTGCATGAGCATCTATATGAAGGGGTACTTGTCTATTTAGGCAATATCCTTATATATACCAAGACCATAGAGGAACATGCAACTCTTGTATATCAAGATCTTAAAAAGCTGCTTGAGGCGCATTTATACAGCAAATTGTCTAAAAGTTCCACAGGATGCAATTGGATTACCTTGGGTTCCATATTTCACCTAATGGGGTGAACATTAGGTGAAATATGGAACCTATTGGGGCTACCCTTGAAAAGTGTTCGGAGACTGCAACTAGTCCAGAATGCAGCCACGCGAGCGATATTGGGTGTACCTAGGTACATCCATGTCACACCAATCCTCCACGAGCTGCACTGGCTACCTATTGGTCTCCGGACACAATTCAAGGTGTTGGTTATTACCTTTAAAGCCCTACATGGCTTAGGGCCAGCATACCTCCGAGACTGCCTACTGCCACATTCCTCCCAATGGCCGATGAGATCGCATAGGGTGGGCCTCCTTCAGATGCCGTCGGCCAGACAATGCCGGCTGGCGGCTCCCTGGAGGAGAGCCTTCTCTGTGGCTGCTCTGACCCTTTGGAATGAGCTACCCCCAGAAATCCGGACCTTGCCCACTCTCATGGCCTTCAGAAAAGCTGTGAAAACCTGGCTATTCCAGCAGGCCTGGGGCTGTTGACCTCATTGTTGAGGTCCAGCCCCGATCGTAACGAATGTATATGTGTTGTTTTTAATATGTTTTATTGTCATTTTTTATTATTATTCTTTCTATTCTTTCTTCAATGTAAGCCGCCCGGAGTCCTCCGGGATTGGGCGGCCTATAAATCGATTAAATAAATAAATAAATAAATAAATGGACCCCGCGAAGGTAAAGGTCATGTTGGACTGGCAAGCAGTTGCAGAGTTTTTTAGGGTTTGCCAATTTCTATTGCCAGTTCATCCCGTCCTTTGCCTAAGTGGCCCTACTAACCGACCTTTTCCATACAAAACATATCACAACAAGCCCTCAACTGGGAAGCCCAGTTGTGTGGACAACAGCATGTCATCAAGCGTTTGAGCGCCTGAAGTCCTTGTTTGTGCACAAGCCAATACTCAAACATCCAGAGCCCACTAAACCATTTGTGGTTCAGGCAGATGCCAGCGATTTGGCAGTGGCCACAGTTCTTTTACAAATGAACAATGAAGGAGCCCTACAACTGTGTTTCTATACCTCGAGAGAGCTGACACCCTGACTTAGTCATTTTTGGAGGAGATTTAAATAATTGAGAGAAGTTAGTGTGACTACATTTAAGAAAACTTTCTGGCATTAATATAATGCCATAATGTACATTTCTCCAATTCTTTGCTATTTCTATGGGTCAGAAACACATGCACAGAAATACACCACAAACAGTGTTTATCATCTATACTATTTGCTGTTTGCTGCAAGGAGGCAAATTGCTGGGAGGCAGAGGCATTTTTTTTTTCTTGTTTTCCTCCCCAAAAGCTAGGTTTGTCTTATACTTCAGAGTGTCTTATACTCCAAAAAATACCGTATATATGTATTTGTATGTGCACAAAAATAAGCTAAAACCATTACCTTGCGGCCAAATCATAATCTCCAATTTCTAATAGATGGTTTATGTATGCTAAACCTATATCCTAAGATAAAACAAAATTGGTCAAAATTAGTCCAAAGTCAAAGGTAGCACTCAGTAATGAACTTTGTTTTCAAGAACTGTAACCTATTTGTTAAATATAATTATTTCGTTTATACCTGATAGTATACAAATTTACATATTACCAAAAACACTTATCAAAAAGTATTGTTAAAATAAAGTTTGAAAAAAAGACTCAGCCTGAATGTTATGTTGTTTGATCAGTCCTACAAATGTTCATGGAAAAAGCCCATGTTCTTCATCTATTCATTGGATGTAATTGTGCTCCCTTCAATGCTCTTAATCTGTTATTCATATATAATACTAAAGACATGAAAAAAGAAACAGGATCAAATTGTTTGATCAGTTTCAAGATATGCATCTTCTTATCCAGGCCTAAATGCAATAGATTTTAATGAGAGAATATACTCTTATTATATACATGACTACATTTATAACCATATTTTCAGATATGGGGCAAATGAAAAGGATGACTCGTTAAAGTGTCATTTTAATACCATATATGGAGATGACAAATGAGTGTGAAGCATCCAAATGAGACCAAAAATAGTGATTTTATTTCAAGCATAAAAGTACACATATTATTCTCTTATACATTTCTTAGAGAAAAAATTGGGAAGTGAAAGACTCCATGCTCCCTATACGCAACTTATTATCTTCCCCTTTCAGCCCTGGGACAGAACTTCTATCTTAGAAAGATGATTCTGAGAAGAAGAAAAAGAGAACCATTTACATGTTCAAATGAAAATACAAATTAAGCACAAAAAATCCTGTATTTTCTTGGGAGTATATTATGGATTAGTATTACTATGGCTTTATATTTAATCAGATGAAATAATACAGATTATTGCAGCTGGTATGTGAAAGGTATGAGCACCATTTATCATTTGTGTGAGCTCTTAATCCTACCTCTGAGGAATACAAAGATTGTTTCATTCTTTTATTATTCCATAATCCCAGAATACAAAGTTTTTTAAAAATCTATATTTGTAATAATAAGCATGATCAACATCCAGCAAGATTATGATCCAAGGATACTTGAAAATTCGATAGTTCAATAACCTTATATCTAGGATACAACTCTGTTCACTGGTGCCTTGACAACTATGTATGCCTTTTTATCTTCAGTCCCATGATAATGTTATCCTAATCTCTAATTATCTGGATACAAATCTAAGATGAAAGGAGAGGATGAAAACAAGTATTAACCAATAGCCAGTATTCTCTTCCTAGGGAAGGTGCCAAAGCAGATGGTGGCCAATTGACTCCAAGATGTATGTATGAAACTGATTTTCTAAATTCATTTTAATCTGCCTTCAGGCCTGGCTATGAAACAGAAAATGCTTTGTTATGCTTTGCTGTGTAGAATAACCTACAACAGGAAAAAGACAGGGGAAATGTAAGTGCCTTGGTCTTTTTCCTGACTCCTCTCAGTGATTTTCTATAGCATTCACCATAGTATTATGCTGGAAAGGGCAGTGTTCCAGAATTGGGATAAGTAGACAATAATATAGTGGTTCACTCTTACTTGGATGTTTGGATTCCAGAATGTGCTACTGGGGAGATACTCTGTTGTTTCATGGTGGTTGAGTCCTTCAAAGTTCCAATGAGTCCTTCCAAAGTTCCACTGCCCTATGGCATGGATGGTGAATCTTTACGGCACTGAGTGGCCACACCTGAATGTGCGTGCCAGCCACCTGGTTTTCTGGTTTCCGGTGCGCCAGCTGGTCTTTGCGCATGCTGGAGAGCCAGAAACCCGAAGACCAGCTCATCAAAGTTCAACATGCATGCTGGAAACCAGAAGAGCAGGTTCAGGTGTTTTTAACAACTGTGATCTTACCAGGGCAGAGATATTCAGGTAAGTTATTCATGCTCTGGTGACTTTTTAGATAGAATACTGCAGAGCACTGTGAGTCTGCCATTGAAAATGGTCCACAAATGTCAGCTAGTTCAGAATAGAGCAGCTAGACTGCTTATTGGGATTAGCAGATACAAACATTTTATTCCAATTCTTCACTACTTTCATTGGCTCCTGCTCTATTTCTAGACCCAAAATCAGCTGATTTTGACTGAAAGCACTAAATGTCTTAGGATCAGATAATCCAAAGGAGCGCTTTATCTCATATGTACCTACTTGCAACCACAACTACTTCCATTTTCTATGTGACTATTTATTATATTTAAACCAAGCCATCTTTAATGTTTTATTGATTTTATTGTAATTTTGTTAGAATGTTATAAACGGTTCACAATCATTTTTAGTCAGGTGGAATATAGGTTTAATTAGTTGTTGCTGCTGTTATAATTATGGCTGATCTCACAATTAGTCAAATGTTTACATTGAATTTGGCATTTTTGTCCACTGATTGAGGACAAAGGACATTGTTGGATAGATGTCAACTGTTCCAATTAAGGCTGCCTTTTGCAATTGACTGATGATGATTCTGTTAAGCCAATACTGCTCAAGTGATGCTTTAGCTGTATTGGCATCCAAGGCACCTATTACTATTGTTATGATTTTTGCTTTTTTTTTGCAACAAATATTCTAATTTTATTTGCAGGTCTTTGTATTTTGTGATTTTCTCTAGTTGTTTTTCTTCTAGTCTGTTGTCTATAAAAGCAAATGAAAATTAAAAAATAGAGCTGGATAATCATTAAAAAAGAGAGAATTCTGTAGTTATGTAGTTTTCTGTAATCAGTTTGTAAAACAAGAATTCCAAGGCTTAACATTTTCTTGAAGGAATAACCTGTCTAATGTGATTACATCTAATTTCATAGCACAGCTGACAGAGAGTATTTAGTGGTGAGAGATATGCATTGTGCATGTTTAGAAATAATGCTTCTATGACTTTATGCAATTAGAGACGGAAACATATTGGTCAGAGCTAAGAATAAACAAACACTAGTTAAAATACAATTCTGGGAGTCTTCATATTAGCATTATGAGTTAAGTAGATAGTATATATTAGATAAATCACATAATGCTCCTTGGCTGATAATTATTATTCTTGATTGGGCCAAAACAGATGGGATGCTAAAGCAACTCCTTAATATTGATACAATACTTATGTGCTTTTTTTTAAAAAAATCTTGTCATAACATTTGGTTCTTTTAACCATGTCTTGAAGCTAAGGTAGTATGCATTTTCCTACATCCACTTAAGATCATTAGCTGCCATTGACAAAAAGGAGAGGAACTTAAAACACTAAAACTATGTCACAAGTTTGGAAATATTCCATGTTTAAGAGAAAGATGGGAAATTAGAAATTTAAAGATATAAGTTTAATCTAGTAATGCCCTTAGACACTGTTTATTATTTGCTGACATATCTGAAGTGGTTAAATTACAAATGTCAAGTTTGTAGACTTACCTGTATCTTGTGCTTTTTAATAGTCTTCTGACTGATCTCAGCTGCCATCAAAGCTTCCTATATAATAAAGTAAAAATGACATCTATTGAAAATTTCCAAAGAAAAAACATAGATCTTTTTTGTTTCTTGTATCTTCTGCATGAATGTAATGGAACATTTAATATCATGGTAAAACCAACAGAATCAATTTTATAATCAGCAAAAGCAATGGTTAATTCCCCCAAAGACTTTGACTTTCTCTGGGTTCACATCATGTTAATATTACAGAACCAAATCTCAGAAGATTGGCACTATATGAAGTATAATTAAAAGAAATCCTTTTTTTAGCCAACATCTACATTAGAAAGATACCTTAATCTTGACTTGTTTTCCTAAAGTTTCACTAACATTGAATAAATGTATTTTTCATTAGCTGGAAAATTATTTTTCATCAAGTTTAATTTGTGGTTCATCCATGAGTCCATGAGTCCATGATGTCAAAATGAAGCTGATTTATTGCAACTTAAAATGAGAAGTGAAAGCTTAATTGGAATTACAAGAAAAATATTAAAGTATATTAATACTAGAACAGATTATGTGTAAATATACAAATATCCATAGCTTTAAGAAAAATCTAGTTTCTATTGTCACAAATTATTAGGATGTATCTTAAAATTTCAGATAACGTTAAATAGCATAATAAACTTGGATGCTTCATTTCTTTGCACCATGTCATATATTTGAAAAAAGAAATATCCAAGAAAATTATTTAAATAACATCAATGACTAAAACTGAATACCTTGAAATTAAAAGCCATGATGTATCTTCAGTCAGATAAACTATGGGCATTTGGAAGGAACTAAGTAAATGTAGCAAATTACCTACACTTTCTACATATTTGCTTCATTTTTTATTTTTATTATCACTTATGTGCTGTTTTGGATTCAAAATACTGCAGTGTGAATTATATTGAAGTTTTCCTTTTTTTCTATACTATATAGAATCTGCAACTGGCTCCTTCTTAGAGCTGAGTGCTGATATTAAAATTTAACTCTGGCCTTTCAGCCACTACAATGCAGTATTCTTCCCTATCTATCTTCACTATGCTTCTCTGTTTAGAAATTTATAGGCATATGACCTTAGTCATATGTTTCCCTGGCTTTTATATTATGCATAGTTTTATTTTATTAGATTTAATTAGCTTTGCACTGTTATTGTATAGTCCAGCTTGCATGGTCTAGTTTGTCATCTCTTTTTATTGTAAACATCTTTGGTTTATTTTAATTAACTGATGTCCCTTTATTTTTGTGTTTAGATTTGTGTACAAAGTAAAATACTAATAGTGAATTTCATTTTACTAGTATTCATGACTGCTATTGGCAAGGCTAGTCAGATATTTTTAGAGGCACAAAATACAACCCAAACAGTGACTATTGTTTAGATAAAAAATATGTGTCTGATAGGGTACTGCAGTGGGATTTGGCTAAATCCTAATATCCCTAGACAACGTGGGTCTTTCTGCATTGATATTGGTAAGTGTGGTAATAGGTGTAATCATTCAAATCACTGAGCAAATGAAATGGTAAAAGATTATTATTGGGAACAGTATAGAAGTAATTTGAAAAATCAACACACTGGTTTCTTTAGAATGTGTGTTTTTCAACTCACATAATTTCTATATGCTCTAGTACATTTCATCTTATTTTGATGAAAAACAAAATATTAATGGAAGTTAACATTTTAATAGTTTACCATAGCACAGCACGTGGCAGATTACATCCCCTAAATAAAATTCTAATGTTCTTCGAATTATGTATCATTATAATAAAAAGAACCAAAGTTGTATATGGATTACTAATTTATTTCATGCTAGATAAAGAGCAGACAAACTTCAGTTGTCTTTGATATCCAAAATCACAACATATTGAAACAAGTTATTCTTTGGATCAATACAAGGTAATCTGGCTCTTTAAAATGAATGACAAGCCTAAATATTTATTATTTTAGTCCATTCTTTTGAAAACTAAAAAAAAATTACAACTATTTCTGGTTCATTGCTGCTTGAAAAAGGAGGAAGCACATATATCAGGATTATGTCTGACTCAGTTCAAGTGTATAAGTGTGTTTGCCTTTGTGTAATTGCTGACTTCTGAAGATTGCTTAAAGTAGTCCCTGTAATTTTAGCAAGATTTCAGAGATGGCTTTTTATTACTTCTTCCAAGAGCTGAGAAAGAAGAACTGTCCCAAAGTCCATCTGCTTTTATATCCAAGACAAAACTAGTACTTACAGATTCCTTGGTTTCTAGCCTAGCACCTTAATTATTATAGCAAAATGGCTCTCTCATTATCTCAAGTTATCTAAATAAATAAATGTAATTAGAGAGAATATACTTTGGTCTAAAACCACATTATCTATAATTATATTAAAATTCCTAAACATAACAATGACTTTTAGAAAATAGAGAACTATTTTTCCCATGGCACCATTAAGAAGGGAAGATGGAAAAAGTTATAATAATTACTTCATATTTCTTTTTCTCCAACAGCCATTCAATGTGATCATCTTGATCTCGTTCTTTGGCCACTACCACATCACTTGGGCTGACAATATAAAAAAGTGATTCACCTTCAGAATATTCTGTAAAAGATAGACAACTGAATCAATTTCCCCTCAAATTTCTAGCATTACAATACAGTCATGGAACATTGACATGTGAAATCAACTGTATGGGATGCTTTGTATTAAACTCAGCACTTTTCATTCTGCAACTCTCTACAGCAGCCTTCCTCATTCACAAATGAACACCTCAAAGGGGAGGATCATATGCAAATACTAGATTTTATGATCTTACTTAATAAATTATGATTAAGAACATGGGAGCAACCGAACAGATCCAATATTAGACACAAAGAACCATGAAATCGATTTCAGAACAAAATCCTCTCTTTAAAGTGTGACAAATCATCAATATCTTTAGTCCCCATATACTTAAACTGAAAAGACAGGTTACTCATAGGTAAACATTCTTCAATTAGTCCTCTCTATATTCACATGTGTGGATTCTACACATGTGCAGATTTTCCTCATTGGAAACTTTTTGGAGAGATATTTGGCAGGAAATCCTGCAAGTATCACAAGGAATATCATAATGAATGAATTCAGAATCTTCTTTGGGAAAAAAGAAGGTGGTTTCCAAAATGTCCATATGTCATAAATGGAAGAGAACTGAGAAGAAACATTGTAACCACATTGCATATTTATTTACATTTTGAAGCAGGTTTTGCCAAAATCCCTTAGTTTTCAGTGAATCTCAAGGAGGCTTTAGGCAGGCATTTTACTCATACATGCAATAGGTAGCAATTACGAAGGAAAACATATATAGTAATATAAAGTATACAATAAAATATATGATAAACATATATTATATTTCTTGCCAAGATGGCACTGGTGATGGCAGTCTTGGTGAAATGCTCTCTGAAAGTTTTTCTGTTTTTTTTATCATTCTCTGATTCACTACAGATTTCATACTCAAGAAACCAACTACTAAGCATCAAGCAATCTTTCTTTGACGGGCAGCTTTCTGTGACTTCACCATCCCATTTTTACAAATGCAGAAGAGTTTCTAACACAGGAAGAAGCAAGTTCCTCTGAACAATGGATAAACACAAACAAATGGAGGAGATGCCAGAAGTGAAGAAGGGGTAAGGGAGCGGGAAATTTGAATAGATTAAGGAAAAGTGGGATAAAAACCCATCTACCTTCACTATTATGTTCACTCGCTAATAGGATGGATGAATCTTTATTTTTTATAAATATTTTTTATTGAGCTTTTTACAAAACAAAACATAAAAGACCACATTCAACATCCATTCTTCCCATTCCTAAGACATCGGTATATCCCATTTTGTTTATTGTCCTAAATGCTTTCCATCCATTTTACATTTGCTGTTTCCTTTTTACATTTATAATTCCTATTTAATTATTTTAATTATATTATATTATAATTCCTACTTTCATTCATTATTCTTGTTCTCTAACCAATACCATTTATCCCATATTGTATGGTATTATTTATTTTCTTTATCTTGCAATTTAAAAGTTAATTTGATCATTTCCGCGCAGTCCATTACTTATTTAATTATCATGTTTTTAGAAGGTTTGCTGTTTCCTTTTCACCAATGCATTTAGTCCATTAACATTAATTGATAGTAATTTCAGTTCTTTTAAATAGATGCAATTCTAATTTCAATTTTGAGCGTATATTATTCTTGCTTTGTCAGTATATGTATTATAATATAATTGATCTTCTTTCAACTGTTCCTCAAATTATCCCTAACAAAAACATATCCAGTTTAAATTGAATTTGTTATTTCTTGCAACCAGGTTCTTGTTTTACTCCAATATTTCCTTACTTCTGGACATGTCCATCACATGTGGAAATATGAACCATGTCCTTGTTTACATTTCCAGCGTCTGGGGCTCAAATTTGGGTATATTTTTGCCAATCTTGCTGGTGCAAGATGCCAACGGCAATACATTTTATATAAATTTTTTTTGTACGAGGCCGACATTGATAATTTCTAATTTTTTGTCTACAACTGTTCCCAATCCCCTAATTGAATGATATAGCCAAAATTCCTTGCCCAAGCTATCATGTTTCCTTTAACTATAGCCTCTGACCTTTCAAAGTTTAATAAGTAGGTGTACATTTTGGTTATAAATTTCTCCTCCGTGCCTAATTATACTTTATCTATTGGTTCTTTTTCAATGCCAAATTTTTCTATATCTTTTTTGCATCTTGTCTGCAATTGTAAGTATGGCCACCAATCAATGAATATTCCGTTCTTTCAGTTCTTGATTTGTTTTCAGATTACCTTGATTATCTAGCAGTTGGTAATAGCTTCTCATCTTGGTTTTGTCTAATGTGTTTGAGTATATCATTGCTTCCATAATTGATAGCCATACTAGTATTTTAATATAGTGTTTTAACCTGAGTTTCCTCCAGATTTGTAATAATGCTCCTCTAATTGTATGACTTTGGAAATGCAAATGTTTTGTGTTTTTTCTCTCCCATAAATATGCATGCCACCCTATATGTAGATCATATCCTTCTAGAATAAGTATCCTTTTGTTGGGAAGGAGTACCTATTCTTTGATCCATAGTATAACTACCAATCAGGGAGTCCGAAGTCACCTCTAGTTCGGCTATCCTGTAATGATTTAAGACTTATTCTGGATTTTTTTTCTTCCCATACAAATTTAATTATTATTTTAATCGTTGAAAAACTTTTGATCTAGTTTTATGGGAATCATTTGAAATATGTGTAGCCATTTTGGGAGTATGTTCATTTTGACTGCGGCAATTTTCCCCACGTTAGTTTAAGTTTCCTCCAATGTTCCAGATCTTGTTTTGCTTTTTCCATCAATTTTTGTAATTATCCTCCTTTATCGTTGAACACCTTGATGTCAACCAGATCCCTAAGCATTTAATTGTTTTTACAATTTGCAGTATGATTTCCTCCTCCAATTTATTTTTCTGATTTGCCGTAACATTTTTAACTAATATTTTTGTCTTATCCTTGTTAATTTTGAGTCCCGCTACCCTGCCAAATTCTTATATTTCTTCCAGAAGTGCCTTTCTTGGGTCAATCAAGGCTTCTATGAAAAATACTAAGTCATCTTCAGATGCCTGAGCTTTGTATTCCTCATTCTTTATTTTAATTCCCTTTATTTCTTTTTTTGTCTTATTCATTCTAATAATACTTATATTGAGAGGATAAAAATTAAAGATGACAATGGGCATCCCTATTTTACTCCTTTGGTTATATTGAATCTATCTGTGAGATCTCCATTTACTATTATGCTGGCCATTTGCTTTGAATATATTGCCAATATCATGTTCTTGAAGTTTAAACTAAAATTCATTATGTTATATTTTATCAGTTGTGTAGAGAGAAATTGGTAATTCCTTCTTTGCTCTCTGATTCTCTTTGGTATCTGTTTGAGGGTTATGACTTCTTTTCCTTTATGGACCAGCTGTTCATCCCTTGTTCTTTTGTAGATTTCACCTCTGATAGCTTTTTTTGCAAATCTTATATATATTTCATGGGGCAAACTATGTCTTCATCCATAATTAGTATGCACTCTGTAGATTTCATTGATATTATTCCTCAGTTCATTTTGTCCATTTGCAATTGATCTTCCCAATTCTAAATGGACTATTGCCTCCCTCAGTTCTCTGTTGGCTGCTGTCAGTCTTTCTTCTATTGCTTCCAATTTCTTTTCAGTTTGTTCTGTCCTTGCTTCTACCAGTTTTATTATCTGCTCATTTTTGGCTATTGTTTCCTGTATCTTCCACATTCTATTATCCAACTTCTTTATATCATCTTTCACTTCCCCTAGATCACCTTTCATTTCCTTGTGATTTGTGGTTATTGATTCTTGTGTTTTTATCATAAATTCCTGAATCATGTTTAATGAGGCTTATAAGCTTTGAAGGGTTGGTGCAGATCCTGGTTTTTCACTGCTCAACATGTCTGTTGTTAACTTCTGTCCTGCTGGAGAGGCTATCATTGGCATTGAAGAACCGAGGTGGCACAGTGGTTAGGGTGCAGTACTGCAGGCCACTTCAGCTGACTTTGATCTGCAGTTCAGCAGTTCAAATCTCACTGGCTCAAGGTCAACTCAGCCTTCCATCCTTCTGAGGTGGGTAAAATGAGGACCCAGACTGTGGGGGCAAGTTGCTGACTCAATTTGCTAGAAAATCTGTAAACCGCTTAGAGAGGGCTGAAAGCCCTATGAAGCGGTATATAAGTCTAATGAATGAATGAATGAATGAATGGTTTTCTTTACAGTTTTGGTAGCTGTGGATGTGTTTGCCATCTTTAGCTTTTGGAAAAAAATATTCCACAATATCATAAGTTTTCAATCTTTCACTCTAGGTCTTTCCCTAGCCACTATCCCTTCTCCTATCCCTCTTTTTAAAAATCTGATAATTAACAATACTAATGTAAGTCACTGATTAAGTGCAATCCTTAATATCAATTTTATATAGACAATTATATAGACAGTTATCTGTTGTGACTCAGCAGAAGTCTTCTGTGAGTCTTTTCAGGATGCAAGATTAATTATGCAGCTGTTTTAAATATGCTTGAATCTATATTAAATATATGTAGAGTATAGATATATAAAATATATAAAAAGTATAGCTTATAAAATGTTAAATTCTTCAATCTAAAGATCACTGTAGTAGATATAACAATATTTAAATACCATAAATAATGTAAAGATATCTGAAGTGTACAAAGCTGGTTGTAAATGAGTCCAATCCAAAATCCTACATTCGGAATACCACAGTTCTCATTCCTCAATCTCTCTATTCCCTTGCAACGTCTCTGTTCCCTGTTCTCTGTGCTTCAAAATGACTGCTGCCCTCAAATTGCAGTCACTGTCCTTTCTTTCTCTTCATTTTCTTCTGCCTCTGTCTCTCCTGTTGCAAAGGGAATCTGTTCTTCCTTCTTTCTCAATTCGTTCAGCACCCACACAAAACTCTCAATTTATATCACCGCAGATCCAGTCTCAAAAATCAATAGAAATTCTCCACTCAGCAACCACAATCACTTTCACTCTCTACAGAT